TGAAAGTCGGTTTACACCCTAAGAGGGGGGTGAATTAGGGTGTTTGCAAGTTTTTCGTAAAAACAAAAACTTATGCGCAAAGTAGTAGTGGAAAAAGAGCAAGAAAAGTATAAAAGATTAAAACATGACACAAGCGATTTTATACTGGTTCGGGAACTCCCTATCTCAACCGTTTACAACCGAAGATTTTAAGGCTATCTTCAACCTTAAAATGAGGATTTAAAGGCTATCCACACCTTTTACAAATCAATAAAAGATTGGTGTTGCTTCTCTACCAAAATAATAACAAATATGAATTGGGAAGGAGAAGAACAAAAGATTAAATCAACAACAACAAAAGCCTATATGCAAGATATAAAATAATAATCACAAATGCCCTTGTGTGTGAGTGTATAAAAATAATGAAAGCTTTTTACTCAAAAGAGTAAGAAAAATAAGAACAAAGCTTTAGGAACACTCAAGAATAGAGAAAGAGGCTTTAGATTTAATTGGGAAGTTGTTGTGTATAAAATGAGACTTAGAGGGGGTTTATATAGGAGTTTGGAATGTTAAAATTTGAGTTTTTAATGTTAAATGCCGTTAGGAAGTGATTAGGGGTGATTTGAATTTAAATTGACAATTTGCTACAGTGGTGCTAACGGATACAGTACCCTTCCTAGTAGGGTCAGTACCGTGACCACGGTACAGCCTACCGTTTGGGGGTACCGTATAAGCCAAAAAGTGGGTTCACCTCTGCCCTCTAGCGGTACCTAGTTAGGACAGGTTGGGCCAACCATCTATGCCTACCGTCCGGTACCCAGGTACCATTACACGGTAGGGGGTACCGTGTACCTCTTAAGTGAAACGTACCACGGTACGTTCACTTGGCTACCGGCGGTACCCTGGTGCCGTGTACACGGTAGCCAGGTACTGTTATACCTGTGTAAATTTTCCAAACTCGTTTTGTGTGTTCCTTTTTCAAAATAACCCCAACTAAAAATATATTTGACATTTTAGAAATAATTTTTGAGTGAAAGGGCATACGTAAATTATTAAAATATATTTTTACCTTTACACAAATATTTCTAAGCTCGTAGGAGTATATCTCGGTGATGCTAAACAAGCTAATAGAGGTTTGGCATTTGGTTTCTTCTTGCAAATGATGTTAGTAGCATTTGGAAGACTTATTTGGTACATCAAAACGGTTACGAGGTATGGCATTCAAGGCCAACAATCTCCCCCTTTTTGATGTTGACAAATAAGGCTTTCGAATATAATAATCAAACGCACAAACGTATCGTGAAAAGCATATATTGATTTTAAAACTCCCCCTAAGTTGATGCATGTGATATTTTGACAACAGATAGGGGATGTTGCTCGTAGTGTGGATACAATGGAGCGTGCCCGGCCATGGAGCTCTTTGGACTTGCTTTGGACTCGACTGTACAATACTTGGGCAGCACGTTGTGGATTCAGTTGGATTGGGTGTAGAGCTTGTGTTGGCCTGTATCTTGGGGCGGGCACTCAATGTTCTGCCTTTCACTTTTTGCCAGTGCACGTTGGACTTGCGAGCAGATGAGGACGGGATATCATAATGTGGATTACTTTCTTTTTATTGAGGCCTGTGTGCCATTTGGCAGTTTGTTGCCTACATCTGTTTTTCAATTGTGTTTTGTGTTTGAGGGTGTGTGGATGTATTTTTTCGATTTTGTGATTAGTGCTTGTAACCGTGTTGTGGTTGGCACTAGAATTGATGTACCTTTCTGATTTGGGTAATAATAATTTACATGTTACCCGTTGACAAAAACTCCCCCTAAATGTATGCATATGATAGCCTAATATTTCTCCCCCTTTTGGCAACATTCAAAAAGGTGGGGTGCCAAGAGCATGAGTTTCAACACATAGGCATTCATCACGGCAACATTATAAGCATTCAAGTAAACTACAAGCATCATCAAACCATAAACATAATCATGTCAAAGGGGTTTTTAATCATAAAAGTGCATAAATACGAGTTTTAAACATAAGACATGATAAGGAGTTTTGGAACATAAAACAAAATACATAATTGTTTTGAAAACATAAAGAAGAGAATGTTTGATCATTTTTTCAAATGCCCAACACTTAGCGATGACGTCTAGAAGCACGATCCTCATTTTGCTTTTGGCGATTCTCATGGTCCTCCATTTTCTTCACGCAATCCGAGAGGTCATCGAGGCTTTCTTGAAGTTTTTTCATTGGAGCCACCACGGTCTTGAGAATGAATTTCTTGAACTTCTTGAAAGGACTTTTGGAAGTGGAGGCCATGTGGGAGTGACGATGCATGAGAGAGGCCGAGGAAGCATGAGACGTCGACTTTGAGCGTTTGACCCGGGGAGCACGAACGGGGACCTCCGTGTTGGCATTTTCTTCGGCTTCGGCTCGGGGTGCTCGTGAAGTGGAAGGCAAGGATGACATAGATTGTCGAGGGCCATACTCCGCTCGTGTCGCCTCATCAAGATTTTGGAACTCCTTCTTCATGTAGTATTTCTCTCCCATCTTTACGAGGCCACAATACCCAAGACACTCCGCGTCAAGATAAAGGACGCGAGAAGGGCGCACCTCAAGAATTTCTCTCTTGGCGAAGATATGGGTAAGAAGCATGCCATAGAGTTTGTTTTGGTGATTGGAGCATTCGTGCATGTGTTTAAGGATGATGGAAGGAAGATTGATTTTCTTGTGAGTGAGGAGGAAATATAGGAGAGTGCATTCATAAACCCCGACTTGTTTATCTTTGTTAAGAACGAGGATGACATTTTCTTTGAGGATTTTGAGGAGGATGAACCTATTTGCGGGCAAGTCTTGGACATTGGGCCGATGAAGGAAGTAGTTCGGGTCCTCAAAGACATGGTCAAGGGCAATGTTGTTTAGAACTTGGAGGCAAGAATCAGAGTTAAAGTCTCGTGAGTTGGTAATCCACCCCTTTTTGCAATAGGTGGAGACTCCTTGACGCTCTAGGTGAAACCATTCAGAAAGGTTTTGGGTGTTGAATCCGAAGGTTTTTCCGCCTACAACGGCGGTAATGGAAGGGTCTTGGGGATGATATTTCATCGAAGAATAAAATTGATGAACAAGTTCCGGGTAAACGGGGGCTTGGAGTTGAAGAAAGAAACTCCAACCATGTTCTTGAATGAGTTCAAGAACGGCAACTGGGATGTCATCTTGTTTAAGGGTTCTCCCTTCAATGATATGTGGGTCGACGTAAGCCTTGAACCCAGCTTGAACATCGGATTGAACGTCGGAAACAATTTCGCTCATATTTGGAGTTTTTTTTTTTGAGAAAATAGGTAATTTTGGACGAAAAAGGGAAAATTGATACCCGATACACGAATTGAGGAGAGTACTTGAAGAAATTGAACCTAATGTTTGAAGAAATTGAAGAATTTGGATGAGGAATTACCTTGATTGAGATTAGAGAGACAAACGACGTACGGGAGAGAGAGAACGCCGGGAGAAATTTGCAGAGACCGAGTGGAAGAAATGACAGAAGCTAGGGTTTTTTAAAAAGGTTTGACCCGTCGCGACGTTCGGTACCTCTCTACCGTGTAAACGGTACCTGGGTACCATATGGACGGTATAGGCTACTGTATTTAGCTACCCTGAAGGCTTCAAATCGCATTCTCCTTTGGCGGTACCTATTTAGGATGGGACCTTGGTATCGTCACGAGTACCGTGCCTCAGACTTAATGTTTTGTTTCGACCTCTAGACGCGTGGTTTGAGAATTTGGAATTGATCAATTTATTTTTATGATGTAATGGGATAATAAGAACCTTAAATTTTACTTTAATTCAAGCATTCCCATTTCCCGACAAATATGTAAAATTTGTTTTTCATCCAATGGTTTTGTAAAAATGTCGGCACGTTGTTCAAGTGTATTTACATATTCAATTTGAATATCTCCCTTTGCAACATGATCACGTATGAAATGATGTCTTATTTCTATATGTTTAGTTCTAGAATGCAAAACGAGATTTTTGGCAATATTTATTGCACTTGAGTTATCACAAAAAATAGGTACTTTTGAAAATTTGAAGTTAAAGTCACTTAGTGTTTGCATCATCCATAAAATTTGAGCAACACAACTACCCATAGCCACATATTCCGCTTCGGCGGTGGATAGGGCGACATAGTGTTTTTTCTTAGATGACCAAGACACTAGTGCATGACCTATGAATTGACATGTGCCACTTGTGCTTTTCTGATCAATACGACACCCTCCAAAGTCGGCATCACTAAAACCTATCAAGCTTAAATTCGTATTCTTAGGATACCATAAACCCATATTGGTCGTTCCCTTGACATAACGAATTATTCGCTTGACGGCATTTAGATGTGATTCTTTAGGTGATGATTGGAAACG